ATGTGAAAATATGCCATTGAGAAATATTAGTAGGAACACTTTGAATTCACATTTTAGTCTCCTAAAAATAGCACTGAGACAGTTGGAAAATTGCTCCATTTTTGTGCTCAAGAGTATGATTGGACCTCATTTACAAATTACTAATCCTGCTCAAAACACCTCTTTCTGAATCAATGGCATTATATTAAAACAGAATATGTTATATTTAATAATCTTTAGGCTTGTATGACAAATTGAGGTATGTGAGTTTAAAGACAACTTTTTGGATCAGCTAGTTTTGGGTGACTTGTATTTTATTCTAAGTGTAAAATTTAGCCACAACTTGTATAGAATATATATCTATAAATGAGTTTTTACATATGATACATTTTAATATTTTTTCATACTATTTTCCAGCAAATAATTAATTAGTTTAAATCAGTATAGATTTTAAGATTATTGAAAAAGTGTTAGTAAATTGGCCTAAAAAGACCTTGTACATAATTGGTCTTTCCTTCCTCATTTGGCAGAAATATACTTAGAACATGTAGGGTATCTATTTAGCTCCCTCTTAAACTGACAGTTTTCAGGGTTTCTCTCAGAAGGATCTTCTGTTCCTACTTCTAGCTCTGTTGTTTACTTTCATCTACCTTTTAGACTTCTGAGTTGCCAGTGGTCCAGTCTGGTCATCCTGTCAATATGACCAGCTAATATACCTCCATTCAGGTCCTAGATTTGTCAGAGACAAATTGGTAGTTGCCACCTTACTTTAATAGTAAGTTCCAAATAAATGGATGTCAGCTGTCGTCACTTGCTCATTTATAAACTGAAAATGTAGTAGAACAAACAAGGAGCTGGGTTTCTTGTGGCTGTATGAGAAATGGAATCACTGGCCTTTAGTACTCCCCTTCCTGATTCCTGTCTATTTTTTATCTCCTGTAAGCTCACAAAAACCAAACTGCCAGACAAATCACACAGTATATGTGCTGCCTATGCAAATACTTGTGTCCATCCACAGGTTCAAACAGTTAGAGATTGGAGTTATCTGTGCCATATATTTTACAGATAAATCTATTTGTACACAAAAATTGCCAAAGTTGAATGAAGATCTTAAAACATCTAAGATTCCAAAATGATGCATTTCCCAGTGTGGGCTTATTTAAGTGTAGTGTCACTTGGGGTTAGTATTTACAAGAGTGGGTACTGGGAGGTGAGAATAAGAGAGTTGAGTGTCTTATGTATTATGGCTGTTCAGTCTCCCAAATGCCTATTTATTTTATCCTCAGAAAAATAAACATGAATAGTTTTTCTCACCCCAACACCTGCTGCTAACACCTTCAAGATTCTCTTAACTTTTTTGTTCCTACTTCACTTGTTTACATAATACAGTTACTATTTTGTTTCTTTTAATTAACATTTTTAAGTACCTTCCACAATTATAGTTATGTATTATATTTTGTTAACTTTTCTTCTCTCAACTGTCACAAATTCCCATTTTATACAGACATTTCTCATCCTTCCATATTTTGGAACAGAGTTGTCATGCAAGTCATATAACAGATAAATGTGGTGATAAGGCCTCATCCATCTAATTTACATCTCAAAGCATGAGTAATTATTTAGAGGTAATGTTTAAAATAACAATAGATAATAGAAGAAAGTGTCATTTTCCACTTACAGCTGGGTGTCAATATCTAAGGTTGTTTTATAATTGAATTAAGTGAAAAATGGAACATTTTATCTTTGAAAGTAAATGTGTTACTTAAAGGCACTTCTTTCCTCCTTCACGTATATTATTGTATACAGTCAATATAGAAAGAACGAAGAATCAGGAGGATCTGAAGAACAGGATGAACTAAAGGAAGATCTTTTTCTGCTATGAGCCAGTGTTACTTTTTGTCTTGTACAATAGGTTTCATGAAATTCTGTCTTGATACTACTTAACTAAGTATTGTATGAATAGGTGCTACTCCTGACCCCCAACTTCTGTCAAGGGGGAGATCATTAACTCAAAAACGACTCTTGCTCTTGCTCATCTCTTGCCGCCTGGGGGTGGTGATTTTTAACACACCCTGTGAAGCTTTCCTGATTTCCCTTTTTTGATCATAGGAAAGAGGGAGCAGAATGGTTTATGGTTCCATAGAGATTATATAGGAAGTAATTTTGTTATGTTGGAAAGCTTTTTGAATTTTTATTGAAAATATTTCTTCTGACTCCAGGACATTGGAGTTGGGACTTTCTGTAAATGAAGAAAGCTCTGTTTTAAAGCCTGGACAGATATTCTATTACAAATGAGTCAAAAAAGAGAGAGGAAGTATCTCATAGTTGCAAATATAAAAAGAACCCAGTGGTCAGACAACTAGTACACACAAGAAAAGCGTGCTTGGTTTGTAGACCAAGTAAATAATGGTACCTTTCTTTTTTAGCAAGGTAGTACTCAGTGAGGTGCTTTCTGGATGGAAGGAAAGAATGCAAGGCACTGAATCAGCTATTAGATAGAAGTGCCAAAAAGCCGTGCTGAAGCACATGATCTATACAAATGCTGGGGAGCTGGGTCAAACTGAATTGATGCCTCTTCCAGTAAAGCTCTGGGTTTTTTTTGGTTTTTTCCTCGTGTCAGTGCCCACAGATTCCATCTCTATCTGCTGCAACAAACAGAAGATTTTATGGCAGCAGTTTTAGACATGGGTTTTGTTTTTGTTGTATTTTTAAGAAATATCCATTTTACTAAATTAAATCTAAAAATAAATCGTATGGAATGTCTTTGGTTTTGTTTTCCAAAGTTTTAGATTTTGCCCTGTTATGTAGGATTTTGTCCTCAAAAGGTGTAGTTGGTAAAGTTTTTCTTGAGTAAAGCTGTAACATCCTCATTCTAGGAGGGATCACAAGATAAGGACACACCAAGTTTTAGTGGTCAGTAGTAAGATAATTGATGCTGTTTATGTTTAAATAGTTATTAAATGTTTGGTTAAAGGTTTGAGATAAATGTTACTAAGAACAGTATTGAAATGAATGAGGTAAACTTCTGAGAACTGTTGTTTCAGGCTAACTGCAGATTCAAATGGTTAACTCCTATTGATTTATGCTGTGTTCAAATTTTGAAGAGTCAGACATGTAAATATTTAACAAAAAGAAAAAAAGGCTTATAAGGTTAGGTGCACATATTCCTTTTGTAGCACTGTATATGCCTTTGTAGCACTCCTGGAAGTGAGTTTAGGTTGTTTGTAGTGCTAAAAAGATGGCAGATCTGCCACAGTTTCAACTCTTTTGTGGCACCACTTGTATCCTGTTGACTTGTACTTGTATACTTACAGAGGGTCTTCCAGAGTACTCTACTCCCCTTCCTCATTTCCAAAGGAAGCATAGCAGTCCTGGCAGCCAGAGCTGATCAAACAAACAGGAGGCTGATCAAACAAACAGGAGGCTGCTCTTTAGCTCACCAACAGGAGCTAAAGAGCAGCCTCCTGTTGTGCCCTGGCTGGATAGCATGTCTTTGCTGGGACTTAGTAGCACTTCAGCTAGGGTGTACACTTTCTGGATGTGTGTACACCCTCATAATGCTCTATTTTGTAGTATGATATAAATGAACATATGCATATAGCCAGATTACAGAAGAAACCCTTCAGCAGGAAAAATTCTTCCAGATATTCAGAGGTATGCAGCTACTTTTAAGTGTTCCAAATTTATACATGTTTAAGTGCTCATTCCAAATCTTTTTAGCTCTCAGAGCTTGCTGGTTCCTAAACTGTGGTCTTGTGGACCAGTAGTAATTTCTGGAACAGTAGACAATTTGCAGAGAACTGCCTGGTGACATGGTTCTGGTTCTTCTTGTTTCCACCTGCTACTTTATCCTTGTGCCTGCAGTGTTTGTGGGGCATGTCAGAATTTTGTTAAACTGCCTATATTTTGACACTGTCATGTATTGGCATAGTTTATGGTTGTGGTGTTCTCATTAGCTGGACTTGTGTCAGAAAGGAAATGAAATGCTGGAGCTAGTTTCAGAATTTTTGGTGTTCTACGAGTTCTTATTTCTGGTTCAAGGTGTATTTAGTGTGTAGAATTAAGTCATCTCTAAACAGCTTATGAATAAAATACTGGTTTTGAAGTTACTTTCTTTGGTTACAGTTATAATATATCTGTTCGGTGTCTCCTGTGGATGTTTGCCTTATGCTTGTTTTGCTTTTTAACAGGTCACCTGAACAAGAATCATCAAAGTAAGTGCTATTGCAAGCGTATATAAATTCTCTACCCTTTGATCTGAGAATTCAAGATATGAAATAAAATTGTAAATGCAGCGAAATCTTTGTAGACTTGTAGTTAGTTGGCGGGGTGGGGTGGGAGGGAATGTCATTTTATGTTATATACTTCTAATTTAAAATAAATCATTTAGGAACACGTTGAATCTGACCTGTCTGTGTAAGTGCTTAAATATCATTCACAAAATATATTCTTTTAAAAATGTTCTGACATATATTTTGTAGAAGTTTTAATAATGCTGAAATCCACTGATGATTCATCTGGTAAGTCTGCATATAGCGCCATATCGTATTCTATTTAGCAGTTTTGGACAATAAGTGTGATCTGTAATCTGGTATTACAAAGTGAAAGCTGAAAATTTATTTTATTCCTCACAAATTGTCCTAATATGATTCATTTACATGTACAACCTCAGTTGTTACATAGTACTGACTTACATGACTCATAAAAAAAACTCTTAGGTGAACTACTTATAATAGCAATTACAACTTATAATATGTATAATAGTTATGTTATATTTGTGTTTTGTTGTTATCATTTGTACCCAAAAATGCTGTCCACTAAAGAGGTGTTTAATGATCAGTGATTTCTGAAGCCTGTGAAAAGGCTAAAATTGTAAGTACCTTTCTGGAAATGAATAATGGGCATTGTTTTAAAAATCAACAGAGACAGGCGTGTCACATTACTGATGCACAGCAGTAAAAATGAACAGTAGAAATTTTAGCACAAAGCTAAGCTGGCCTCATGGTGCCTTGTGACCTTCAAGGCTGTTGAGGTCAACAGCTTTCAAAACTTTGAAAACCAGGAAACCATGGAGAGTTGAGGTGAAACAGATTTTTGTCATTTAGCATCCTGCATTTCAGAATTTTAAGTACATCCTGCTACCCTAATGCAACATTAACTCTGTGCCTGGAGCCTAAGGAGTACATATGAGCAATGGTCCAGAGAAGGTAGCTCCATAATTGTACATGAGAGTTCTGAGAATTACCATATTTACTCAAATACAAAACAAGGTTTTCCCTCCCAACTGTAATGGGGCAGGGAAAGCTCCACATGTTATTATCAGTCACATACAAGGAAATCTCACTAAATACACTGTCTGTCATTAAACTGCTGCCAAAAGCAGTACATGCTCAGCAATGGAAACCAACTATGAAATTGATTAAATGCAGCCAACATGGAGCGTGACCATAAAACATGTGGCCCGTATTGGGCAAATATGCTGATGGGAACCTTTTTTTAAAAAAAGCAAATTTTGTTAAAAAAACACACTTATCCTATACTTACAAAGCAACACACATTAAACATCCTTGTTTTATCAAGACTTCATAGCACAGAAATAACTATGTACTACATGTATTAAACCCTTAACATGCATCAACTTCCCAGAAAAATCAAACTCTTACAGAAATATTTTCCTTCATACAGAACCCCATGAAAAAACTATTACCTTAGTAATTTTCCTTCTCCTGATTAATGTAGTATTTCAGTTTATGCAGCCCCAGCTTTGGGCACTTCACTTTCAGTGAAAGCCAACCCCTTAAAAACTCAAAGGTTTCTTACTTTCCATACACTAGTTTTAACACATGCTAATAAATCCTTAATAATGTTTCCTCTGGTCTCTTTGATATGAGTCCATATAGTACCATCTCCCACATTAATGACGGATTTATTTTGGTGATACTCAAAAAGCAGCAGGCCTTTCCCATGCCCTTTTTGCATATGTGCACTCCCAAAACATGTCCCACTGTTTCTTCTTCCCTGCACCTCTATCTTGGGCACTTTGATAAGCTCATCAAGCCCCATCTGTATTGTACTTCTCTCACTGGCAAGATATTTCTTACAACCGTCTACAGTAGGTAAGCATGTTTGCCTTTTAGTTGCTTACCCACCACCACTCTCCACACATTCTCTACTTGTCCTTCTGTGAAGTTTCCCACCAGTGCCATCCTGTCTCTCCCCCTTACTGCTTTCATCAATTTCTTATGACCCTTCAGGACCTCCAGCCCTACCTTCTCTGTTTTATACCTCTGCATGTATCCTTCCATTCTGATGTAATGTGTGGTAGAGGCAATGCCCCAAGAGAAAACTTACCACAGAGGGGAGAGCTGCCAAGCCGGCAGGACACTGCAGAGAACTGGAAGTCCAGTGGGAATGAAACCGTGGTAGGGGAAAATGCCGTGGCAACAAAAGGAGAAAAAAAAGAATGACGAGCCCAGGAAGAGCCAGGATCAGCTCTAGCCCTGGCATGGACCTGTTTTATGGTAGCATGCCAGTGCCGATTCGCTGCCCGGCCCCTTAAGGAGACAATAAAAGCTCTGATGGAGTCGGATTAGGAGCGACCAGAAGTGAAGCTTCTGGTGGGGCCACAAGATCCCCAAAGAGGAAAGAGCTCCAGGCAGGAGCAGTGGTGGCTGCCCCAGGAAGGGGCACCTGGATATGAGACAAGCCCGCGAGGGCTAAGGTACTTACCAGAAGCAGAGTCGTGGATCCTGGGCGTCTCCGGACCTGATTGGACCACCAGGGATCCTGCAAAGGAAAAGAGAGCTGGGAGTCCAGACCACAGCCGATACACAGCCAGGGAAAGTAAAGACGTACCAGGAAACAAGGTAACCTGGGGACAGGAAGGACCATAGGTCAATCTCACTACAGCTTGGAGCCCAAGCCAAGTAAGGTCCAAGTCCTATTGTTCTAAAGTAATTACAAGATTACCACTGTGGCTTGCCTAGTGGTGGCCAGAAGATAACAGCTTAAGGTTGGCGTAAGGCAGGATATAGAGCTCTGAATCGGGAAACCAGACAGAGTTAAGGA